CCCAGCGTGGATTCCCGGTCTCGCAGCGCGCCCTAGTGGACACCCTGCCCCTCTCCTCCTCCCTCCCCACCCCCCGGACGTCCGCGCTTCTCCTGGCTGGCCTTACAATCTGCAATATATATTATTTCTTCCAAAGTATTGACAATGTGTGAGACTCCGGTAACCCCGGAGCTCTTGTCTATAATCAGCACATTTACTCACATTTAGGGGGAAAAATCCGAATTAAATCCCCTTGACCCTGGATTGGGTTACAGTGTCATTTTTCCCTGGATCCTCTTTTAAATCCACTCCACACTGCCTCTCTGTCTATTACATGCTAATTTAATTTTACTGTGGACGATATTTTCAGCATTTGCTGAGGACAGTAAATTTTGTAGTTTATGTTATCTCACTTTTTATGACTTTTTAACACTTAATAAAATTTTATTAGAGCACTTTTGTGTTTACAAGGCCACAAAACTCTTGGCAGGTTGTCAGAAGTCCTTTTTATTATGATCCTACTGATATATTGCGAGTAATGAAATAATCATGTCCAGAAATGTATCAAAGGCCAGAGGGATTATCCCACTTAATAGCTCCACAGATGCGCCCAGAAGGATGTGGACGCGGGCAGGACGGGGCTTCAAGGCGGCAGGAGGAAGGAGGCAGCCCCCGCTCCTTCCTTTACCATTTCGGTGGCTTTCCTAAAAGGGTCATGTGACTTTCCGTGGTCTCAATAAAAAAAAGAATTTATTCTATTGCAAAATGTGCTTTTCTTTTTATTCTCCTTGTGTGGGCATTTAAGGCTTTTCCTAGTGGCAGTGGGGCTGGCTCAGCACATCCCCGTTGTCTGTCACTTTCTCTTTTCTAAGTACTTTCGTACCATGTAAGCAGGCGTTGAGCGTGAGACTTCTACAGCCTACGCTGCAGGCATCGGGAAGGACCTAGGAGGTCGCAAGGGGTTTTAATGCCCTTCCTCTCTTGCCAACACTATTTTTTGCTCTTGGTTTTTGGTTTGGTTTGGTTTTGCAAAACAGGCAACAGCGATCTGAGGACTCTGCTTTCTGCCTTGTACCAGAGAGCCACAGTATGTGCTGCATTTATGTGGTTTAGGTTTTTAGTCTTTTTGTTTTTCTTTTTTGTTGTTGTTGTTATGACTCGTAATAAAAAGGACTGAGATGCTGCAGGTTTTCTTTTAAAAATTTTTTCCTTTTCTTTTAAATAGGTGCAGGATCGTGTAGCATGCTGGTGTTAAGTTCATTCTTGCTGCAAGAGAAGGCCATTCTACTTCCTGACCCCCAAAGCAAGGTGGGTGGCTTTGTTTTATAATTAAATTTTCTGTCTGGTCTCATAGTTCTCTCTCTGCTATTTCCTAAATAGCGTGCCAGAGTGATAACAGAAATGAGGAATGGACGCATAAATGGAGTGATTTTGAAATGACTGTTGCTATATCCATAACACGTGTTCTCCTAAAACTTTGGCTTTGGAGGACTTTGGTAGTTTTTTTCACAAGTATGTGTGAGTGTGTGTGTGTGTGTGTGTGTGTGCGCGCGCATGCACGCGCATGTGTGTGTTATATCCCAACACGTCACATTGGGATTTTGTAATCTGTCATTGTTGAACACAGTCCCTGGGAAACAAGCGCGAGCCTCCCTCTGGACAGCCTCCATCACACGTGCGTGAGCTCTCCCGTTCACATGTATGTAGGCTACTCTGGAGGGCTCTTTGATTGCAACTTTAGGGGAGCAATTTTGTTTTTGTATGTCATTTGCTACCCACTACTTAGCACCTGGTCTGGTATCTCCTGTGTGCCTGTGATGCTCTAGGTTCTAAAAAGAGCATTATGAAGGATTGCCCCATCCCTTAAAAAGATTTATGTGCTGAAACTATTTTGCACATCATTTTTCTTTTTATGATGTTTTCCATTTGCAAAAATAAGACATTTTTTTCTTTTTTCAAATTTTCCAATAGTGAAAGAAGTAGAAAAGGAAGCAATATAAGGCTCTGAGTAAGCACTCTTCTTCCATTACTGCCTGTTTGTGTTCTTTATCTTTTACTGCAAAAGGAGGAGAAAGAGATTCAGATTGTAGCCCTCTAAATTTCACAGTGTTTTCCATAAGGGAATTTATGCCCAAGTGTGGGAATCAAGAAGAACATATTAATCTTCATTCGGCTGTAAAGTGACAGCTTGATTTTATAAGTACTTTGTGTCTAGGAGAATTTCAATAACTTCAAAAGCTGCAATAGTTTGCAAATTAAAAATCTGTCTGATTAGATTATGGGAAGTAAACCTTCCCTAAGGCAGACATTTTTAATGCACCTAAGTGTTTGTAGATTGGTTTACGTATGATAACTGATGTCATAGTCGTGGAACGTTTACCTGGTGTTCACAGGGACATTTTGGTCCTTTCTGAAGGATTCAGAGTGGAAAGGAAAAAGTGAAGCCTCGTCCTATCGTCCAGGAAATCCTTCAGGGCAAAGCAGAGAGGAACCCAGCCAGGGGTGTGAAAGGCCCCTCAGCAGTCCAGGTGCTGTCAGAGAGCAGGAGGTGCAGGGTGGCCAGGAGGCCTAAAGCCACTTTGCTCATTCTAATTCGATTCTGCTGTGCATCGCTCCTGAGGCCTTGGACAAGTCACTTAGCCTCTTTGCTTAGTTTCTTCATCTGTAAGATGAGGTTAATTTCAGTAGCTCCCTCCCAGTTTTGTTAGGGGTAAAAGTGCTAATTCCTATGAAATGCCTAAAATAGACCTTGGTACTTCTTAAAACAAACCCAGGCAAACTGTCATAATCACCACGTAGCTCAGGACCCGGCACATGGTAAGCCAGTAAATGCTTGTTGGGTGCCTGGTGAATGCTATTTTCTTAACTGTCCTCATTGGCTCGGGGCGGCTCATGGGACAATAGTGAAGGCCATGGTGGTCTCAGGCATGGACTTGACTCTGCTGACAGTGGACAACACGCAGGAAAGCTTCTGTTTGACTTCTGTGGATTTCCATATGGTCTCTTCAACTGATAATTGGGTTATTTAGTTTTTGAGAAAAGAAAGTCCACATTTTATTTGAGTCTCTACATCATTCGTTGTATGAGTAACAGATAATTAATAATCTAATATATTTCACATATCATAGCCCTCTATTAAATCTATTATTTAATACACAGTAGTGATAGGCACTGTGCTAAATTCTTTGCATACATTATTTGTAACCCAATACTGACTCTTCATACAGGTAGTTACCACAATTACTACTTTAAAGGTAAAGAATAGAAAGCTCAGAGAAGTCAAGTGACTTTCCCAAAGTCACACAGATAGAAACAGATGTGGAAGTTTATCTTAGTCTCTGAGAAGGTAAAGCTTGCGCGGTAGGCAATGCTCCACACTGCCTCTCACTGTTTGGCTTTCAAGAGCCCCAAATGAATTTGTTCATTTATAGTTATTATGCAAATTATGATAAAAGTGAAAATGGTCATGATTGAGAGCCAGGTCTTTTATCCCTGAAAGGTCCTGAATTGTGATCGAGGGGATGACACATAGCCCATGCTGCAGGCCTTGCCTGTCCCATCCCACTACTCCAAGCAAATTCTTGGACAGAGCCAGCAGAGAAGTCAGGGTACCTTCCCCACTTTGGAAAAATGTGATTAAGCTGAATGTACTGCATATAGTCTTAAAACATCCAGAGAACAGACTTATGTGGTGATTAAAGGCTAAAAAATCAGAGCCTGTACAAGTGGGTGGCAGAGCAGTTTGTTTTTGTTTTGTTTTGTTTTTTAATCTTAACCAAAGGCTCCTCAAGACTTCAAAGATCGTCATTCTGCCAAGATTCGTAGTGGGTGTCCTGGCCATTTCAGTGAACACAGAACAGTCCAAGATAATAAGGAAGGCCTGAATGTGTGGACAAGGTTTAGTGGATAAGCAAAAGTAATAATGTAGGAGCCTGAGCTTAACCACAGTACTAATTCTGCACCCTGGGAATAAATCATACAGAAACCTCAAAGAGAGAACCAAGGAGCCAATGAGGGCTATAGGGAATGCTTAATACTCCCCAATAAAAGAGTCCATCCAAGTTAAATTTTGTAAGTCGATGGTGGAAAGATGAGAGCCAGTGGCAGCTGTCTGTAAATCCTACACTTTTCCTGAGAAGGAAAGGCTTTATCTAAGGTGGAGGGAGACTTCGCCACAGACAGAACAGTTAGGGTTAAACTCTGACTCCTGACTGCTGGAAGAGAGGGAGGGAAAGGGGGAGCAGATGAAGGCTGCTGCCTAAGAACGCATGATTCTACAGAGTCCAAGCTCACCTCAGAAATCCGGAAGTAACAAACCATAAGCCAGGAACCAAGGCTGTGCCAGGCTGGGGAGGCCTTGCTGGGAAACAGGCTGCGTTTGCCAGTTCTCTGACATATGTGATACAAGCTCTTGATTCAACCCTTCTGTCTCATCCTCATCCCTGAGTTTTCCTTTTTAAGACAGAGAACGAATCAGATTTTAAATACATGTTAATGGAGTTGAGGGAACTTAAAGTATATTTAGAGTTTGTTTTGAGTGTTTCACTATGAAATATGAATAAAAATTTTTACATAATGAGGAACTTATTCTCTTGATGAATGACTAATACGAAGAGAAAACTAAAAATGCAGCATCTGCTGCTAAACTCAATCCCACCCAAATAAAACTACTGTATAATGCTACATACATTAAAGTGGGGATTTAGAAATCTGTAGAAAGAATGTAGTGCAGAGATGCTAACCTATATTTCAGCAGACCCAATTTTATACTGTCAAAACTTTTAAGGATCTTGAGCCATTTTCTTCACCCTTTCTTCTGCATCTGCGAATTTTCCAAGTTAAAGTTTATTGCAAAAACAGGTTTTGAATGATAATGCATCTCATTGGAAAAGGTCTGAGTACTTTTTGATTATTTGATGGAAAGAATGCATGCTTTTCCTTTTTATACATCTTTCAGACCAACTGCTCTGATATAAATAAAATCTTAAAAAACGTATTCACTCTTTTTAGGCTAAGACCAAACATGGTCTTGAATGATTGCTGAAAGGACATTCAGAGTGAAATGTTATCTCAGCTCCACTCTAGCCTGCAGATCAGCCCTTATTCACCAAAGTTTCGGGATCTAGAACAAATACAAGGGCCAGCAAGGCCAAAATGCAAAACCATGGCCAACAAAGCAGTGAACACCAGCGGGCTCCTGGGACAGGAAGCCACTGGGATCTGGTTGCTAGGAGACACTTGTCTTTCCCTGACAGCAGGAAGATGTCCTTGAGCATGGCTTCCCCTGGTTGCCTTTGGACAAGCTGTGAATCAGTCTGTCCTCCATAGTGCTGTCTTCCCAGCAGGGCTGACCAGCCCCATATTATAGGTACCACCAAGAGACAGTGGTGGGTCCTGTTTCCTTGGAAAGTTTCTGTTTTTCTGATGTAGTTTTCTGAAATCAATAAATAATATATCTACTCTGAGTTATGAGAAAAAGGAAAAAATAGCTTCCTGTATGATACTTGCACCTCTAAGAATGTTACAAAATGAAATCACATGCTAAACGGGGTGAAAAAGCTAACGGGTTGTTAAGAGAGTGAAAAAGGAAGAAGATAATTAGTTAATGGTAATTAAAAAGGAATCTCACGGGGGAGAAAGTCCTAGAGCTGGAGGATTCACCCAGGGGGTAATGGTTCCGGCCTGGGAACACTGCAGCAGGAGCTGGGAGCTGGCAGGTGGAGTTGGGTGGCTGGAGGCAGTGAACTTGGCTTCCTTGCTCAGAGGGACGCCCCAGCACCTAGGACAGTGCCTGGAAAGCAGCGGGAGCTCAGGGCTAAAGGAGCGCAGGAGAAGGCAGGTGCTAGAAGATGGGTGGCAGAGTGGGGGCACAATTGGCACTTCAGGGAAAAGCCAAGTAGAAGAATGTGCAGTGGCAAACTGCCAGAGCATCTGTTCCAGAAAATGGTGAGAAATGAGGTGGGCCAGGCAGGGCATAGACCAGTTAAGAAGACTCAAAAACCAAACAGAAAATGGCCTAACAAATTAAGGAGCTATCATGAGATTCCTAGCCTGGAAGAGATCAATGTTTTATGATTAACACATGTTCTGCCAAATGCATTATTTCTTAAATATGTGTGGTTTATTAGATGTCAATTATAATATCATCAAGCTGTTAAAATTACATGATCCTGTTACATGTTCAATATTTGATGAAGTGGACCTTGTTATCATTTCATTTTTACAGATGAGGAAACCGAGATCCAAAGTGAGCGGTCTGTGGCTTGCCCGGGGTCCTATGTTTCAAAGACAAGCCAAGGCTTCTGGGT